ACATTTTTAGTGCATTATGTACCTGCGTGTCTCTCAATGAGCTCTTTCAGAGGAATAGACATCTCCTCTTCTACTGTGCAGGGGTGGTTGACATGCCCAGAGATGTTGAACAGCTTTGTGCCCGAGTTTCTCTCCCTGCCAAAGGAGACAAACCACGAGCCTCCACGACGACAGATGGTGGGCGCCACAGCTACAGTCTCCACGTTGGCGACAGTTGTTGGGCATCCAAACACACCTTCAAACACATTAGAGGGAGTGGTGTTGACATTTGAGACGTGCTTTTATTTTAGCAAGAATAATGAGGGCCCAGCAGAAGAAGCAGCAGTGAGGAAAATGTAATTAATACAGAAACTTTTTTATTCTAACCCCGTCTCTGTAGACAGGAACTCACCGACATCTGCAGGGAAGGGGGGCTTCAGACGGGGCTTCCCCTGCTTTCCTTCCAAGGACTCGATAAGAGCAGTCTCCTCTCCACAGATGTAGGCTCCGGCACCACGCATCACAAACACATCAAAGTCATAACCAGAGCCACAGGCGTTCTTTCCAATTAGCCCAGCAGCGTAGGCTTCATTGATGGCCACCTAAGAGCCAGCAGAGAGAATATGAGGCTTAATCTGTATGAAATTGAGTTGGATGCAGGTGCAGCTACTTTTGTGTCTGAATCACCTCCAACTAAAAGACATTAGTTGTACAGCTGATTTTTTTTTTTTAATTTAGCCACATTACCAACTTTAATATAATCTGAAAGTATGCAGCTTATTATCAGTATCCAAAATAACATTTAAACAACAAACAAATAAACACTTACTTTCCCCTTCCCAGGCCTTGAAAAATAAGACTAATTTAATTACTTTAAATATGGCTGAAGGGCAGTATAATAAATAATAATGGGTTATAATAATATTATACTATAAGCCCTTTAAAAAAAAAAAAATCAAATTTCACAGGTTATATTAATATTTTAAATCTGGAAAGGAAAGTAATCCATAAAGCTTCAGAATGAAATGTACGGGAGTCATTGCTAGAAGCAGACAGGATAGCTCCTGTCAGCCTGGAGAAAGTTTATATTAATCAGCCAAATTTATGGATCCAGGGAAGACTAGCTAGCACACAGGTGGCTTTCATGAGAGCAGATCAAAAGGTTTATTTATTACATGTTTAAGCCTGACAAGCAGGTCTGGAAAAAGATTGTGACTGGCTTTTTGACTTAGCTGAAAATTAGTTACGTCCGACCAGCATTTTCTCCATAAACTGAAGATGATAGTGAGGTGTATGATAATTTTAAAGACTTGATCTCAGTTGTCTCTATCCATCTCTACCTGCAGGTTGGAGGACTCATTGTAGAACTCTCCTCTGATGTAGATGTAAGCAGCACGGGCTCCCATGGCCCTCCCAGCGATCAGGCAGCCTTCGACCAGCTTGTGTGGGTCATTCCTCATGATCTCCCTGTCCTTACAGGTGCCCGGTTCTCCCTCATCTGCATTCACCACCAGATACTTCGGGCTAACATACGAAAACAGAAACAAGTCGGTGTAATAAACATTACTGTCAAAGTAGCGGAGTTTATCTTGCACAAAGGCTGCACAACACGTGGCAATGTCTGACTTTTGCTAACATTAAGAGGTGATAATTGGCTGACAGAAAAAACAAACTGAATCAAAATAAATCTGCTCTATTTTATGAAAACTATGATAAACATCAAACTGATTGATCTATAAGAACGCCAGAAGCATTCCTTTTTAAAAATTAGTGTTGTAAGTGCTTGTATTTGCTAAAAAAAAAAAAGCACTTATGTGTTTATTATTGCTCCAAATGTAGTTACATTTTTGTAAAAATGTTACAACTTAGCACTAAAATTGCAAAATGCTATCTGTGTCCTCACTGACCGGCCATCACTGGGCTTGTTCATGAAGCTCCACTTCATGCCAGTAGGGAAGCCAGCTCCACCTCTCCCACGCAGGCCAGAAACTTTGATCTCATTGAGAATCCAGTCGACTCCCTTCAAAAGAATCTCCTTAGTTTTGTACCAGTCGCCACGCTTCAAAGCCCCATTCAGCCTGTGGCACAAATATGAGAAGGTCACAACTGTGTTTTTGTTTGTTAAACCTCTCACCTTGCATCAAATTCACAAGAGAACAACACAGGGGTGTTACCTCCATTCATGTCGGCCATAAAGGTTGGTGAAGATTCTGTCCTGATCTGCCAGCGGTCCAAATTTAGTTTTCTTAGGAGCACTCTGCCAGAAAAGCAGAGAAAAAAACCAAACTGTTACTACAGTTGTAAGGATTTAATTTGTTTTATACTGGTTTTAACAACATGGGTCATACCTGTGCTGTGCTGTTGTATCGTGTGATAGAAGTCACGCCACCCTGACTGATAGCAGCTGGGGCACGGGCCACCCCGCTCACCACAGCTCGAGAAAAGGACAGCATCCTTTCTGTATGAAAAAATTAAAAAAAAACAAGACTGAGCCTGAATCGTTTTCATTTTCAAACACTAATAAAAGAAAGCAGCTGCACAGGCACAGAGAGCTGCTGTTTAACCTGCTGTGACACTGAAGAAACCAAAACCAAGAGCTGATGTGACGATGCCTATATCCATATTTTACACAGTGAGTGGACATAATGAGGAGAGTTGTGGCTCAGGGGGTAGAGGTACTCCAGTCTGCATACCGAAGTAACTCTGAGCAATATACTGAAGCCTGAGTCTCCCCCAATAAAGAAATCGAAGTGTGAGTGTGTCCAAAAAGGCGGACAAGGCACTTGAACTTCCAGTCTACTACCAGTCCATGCTGAGCAGAGTAAAGCTGTCTGTACTAGTTTGTGAAATACGCTGCTGTAAATGTAAAAAACAATGAGTTTCCCTTTCTGTCACAGATCACACACACACAATATTTACTGACATATCAGTACCAATATCTTTTGTACTATTGTACTCAGTGTCACTGCATCAACAATGTCATAACACTATCTTCTGATCATCATAATTTGCTATCTAATGGCCCTCTCAGCTAAAAACAAATCGGACTAAAAACACCTCAGCCTGAGTTTTATAAAATACATTTCAAACACCGAAACGAGAGCTAACATTTCATTTCAACACCATACATTTAGATTAGCTGTCAGTTTTAGCATGATGTATTTCTTACGGTGGTCCAGTGCTAACTCTTTTGTGATGTTATGTCAGAGCTAACAGAGTTAAGTAACGAAGGTGAAGGCGACTGCCAGCCATGTTATCAAACCTAATCCTGCAGCTGGGCTATTTTATCTCATACGGTCGCTAAAAGGGCGAGTGATTACTGGACAAAACTGATCAGGTCTGCCTTGCTTCAGTGTGATGACAGGAGTACACACCGCTGACCTCCATACTCAGATAGCCACCGCTAGCCTAGCGCCAAGCTAAACTGGCTAGCGGTTAACCTTGTAATGTCAAAATAAAAACACCGGTTTCACTGTGCAACGTGCAGATATTACATTTAAAAAAGTAAATATGCGTTAAAAAAAACTGAACTCAAATCAGGCACAAACGCGCTGAGGTAAGGCAGCAGACAGTCAATCCTCTTTACCTTCTCTCTGCGTCCCGAGTTTATGAAATAAAGCGAGACAGGAAGCAGAGCGCACGGCCCGGATACATAATGCGGAGGGTTATTTAAAACACTCACATAATGCCAGAGAACTACGAGGTTATGCACGTATTTTATTTTTTATGTTCATTGTTCACAAATTAGGCTTTTATATTGCATTTTAAAACCCTCTCAAAATAACCAGCTGTGATATGGTCTTATATTTACCGAGCGTGCTTGTTTTCCTACATTTGGAAAAAAAACAAAAAACATTTTATACTGTTGAATTTTAACAGTTTTACTTTATAAAGCTACTTTTACTATATCCTGCTTTTTACATAGAGTCTATTTAATTTATGTAACCTGTATTTAACCTATGTTGAGATATTAAGGGTTTTATAAAATGAACTGTTCTATTTTATATATTTAATAATATATAAAATAATTATAATATTAATTTGTTTACATTATTGTTAATTAATTTATTATATTTATAATCGCTCTCTCTCTCTCTCTCTCTCTCTCTCTCTTTCAGTTTTGACCATATGATAATTTTTATTGAGCTAATCTAGTCAGTACAGATATTCTGTTATTTTGGGATAATAAAGCATATCTTATTTTATTATAAAAACTATGGTAACCTTAAATGTATTATATGTTTTCAAGTTATTATAGTTCATTAGCATTTATAATCATGGCAGTTTATTAAATATCGTTATATATGACACTATTTATCATAATAATTACTTATTGTTTGTTAAACAATGTAGCAATATGGTACTGTAGTATTATGAAGCCACAAAGTATATAGGAAATACCAAAACATCTTATTTATAATAACAGGATCTTGTAATACACAATCAGATCATGCTCATACCACCATAATTATGGATAATTACTTAGTGTTTCACATTAATGAGAATGTTCATCATATCATTGTGAGAATGGACTTTACTGTTATGAAAAACAAGGCCATGCCTTTATATCTCATAGTTCTGATGAGATTTCATTTAAAATCTGTCCAGATAGCATCAGGTCAAAGCAAAAGTTACCTGAATGAGATTTATATTGTAATGTAGAGACCCTTCAAACCCCAATGATCAGGCAATCCCCTGTGAGCAGCACTTTGCGACTGTGAGGAGGGAAAACTCCCTTCAAACAAGAAGAAACCTCTGGCATATCCAGGTTCAGGGAAGGGTAGCCATCTGCTGTAACTGGTTGGAGGGTGAGAGGGAAAGAGAACAGAAATAAGGAGCAGAGAGTATTATGAGGATAAAAGGCATACCTTTAAGAATCCTTCTCAGATTTATGAAATAGTGAGTGAATATTATGATAAGTCACAATAAGATACATTCTGGACCTGTGACTTAATTTTCTTGGCAAAGCTGCGAAAAAGAGCTTCAAAAATGTTTTCTTAAGTAAAACAGTATTTCTTTGATCAACGTGTCTGCACATTCTTTATACATAAGCACAAATAACACACTGCATAGGAAAAAATACATATTTGATATTTATGCTTCAAGGTTACAGACATTGGTATACACATGACATCATCAATATAAAGGTAATAATCAGAGAAATAAGAAAAAATAAAGACATTTCAGTTAAACTTGTAAATTCAAAAAACGACCGTTTTGTGTGCATCAGATGAAAATTTTCAAAATCATGTTGTTTCAAATGCATCTGAGAAAAGTACACAGTATTAATCTAAATGTAAATCAGCGTTCAGTCAATTTAAATTTGTAAAATCTTTCTTTGAAGCAAAAACAGAACAGAAATAAACTTCTAATAACTACATTGTTAATGTGTAGATACAGCTGTGGTTTCTGCTGTGAAAAATGCTGCATGTAGACCCTGTATGAAACCCCACTAAAAAAGTGAAGTAAAAAAAAAACTGAGAAAGTTCAGCTGATATATTTACAAAAATAGAACTTATATTATACAACAGCATCGTCTGACGGTTACATACTAGTTAACCTATAGAGACTTTATTCTCATTCATTAGTTTTACATTATAAATAAACAATATTCCAGAAAAAAATGAAACAAAAATAGTATGGAAACAAATAATACTGGGTATAAATTATTCTTTATATGAGCTCTGTGAAACCTGTCTGTGTACAGCTGGAGATATTACATAACTGCAACTGATCTTCTGTGAACATCAGCATTAAATCTTCACATCAGGCAACCTACAGATGAGAAGGATCATGTAAAATAGAGCCACAGAAAGCTGAATGATGTAACACCAGCTGCTGCTCCTGCAGGCTGTCAATATCCTGGACGGATGATCTGATAGATAATCAAAGTGGCTACTACAGGCCACTAAAATGTGCTTTAAAAGAGGTATTTACAGCTGGAAAGAGACCAATCTAGACAGACTGTTGGTAAAAAAATAAATCAATACATCAATACATGAATAAAAAAGCTCATGTAAATCAAAATGTAATATCATCAGAACGGGAGAAACAAAAGATCATCGCTGATGTCCATACAGTTTCAAAATTATACAGGTCATTTTACACGAAGAGTATACAAAGCTCTAACACAAACATGAGCACATATTACAGCTGATTCAAGTTCAAATAATAAAATAAAACCACTAAAGGTAGACTATTGTCACATCATCGCAGTAATGCTGTACTAAAAAGTTTAAGTAGGTCTCGCTATCTGATTGTCCATCAGCGTGCTTCAATAGAAGATATCTTTGTCATGTGCAGTTTAAATGTGACAAATGTGCTCGATGAGTCTGGCTGGAATGTTTTTCTCATGGTGCTGAGGAAGTCATTCATCCGGGACTGGCTGATAACTCGGTCGGCGCGCAACGCGGTCCAGTCGGTTCACGGCCACACTCTCAAACGCCCTCCTCATCAGAGGATGCTCCTCCAGGACCTCGTTGAAACTGTCCGCGCTCAACGAGTAAAGACGGCAGTAGGTCTCAGCCCTCACGCTGGCTGTGCGTCGTCCCTGTGTCAGCAAGCAAATCTCTGAAACAAGGAAGACATAATTTTAAATATGTAGTTCATCCCACTTGTTAAATGAGAGGATCTAAACCACCTGCATGTCTGGACCATAAATATGAAGAAATACCACCTGATTATATTATCATAAAGACTAAAAATGGAAAAAGTTTGGCAATACAGTCACAGGAAAAAAAAAGCACGATTTACCCCCAAAATATGCTCCATCGCTGAGCTTAATCTCCTTACTACCACGTGGGATGATGGTGACGGTGCCGTGCTGGATAAAGTACATTTTCCGACCCAGCGTTCCCTCTCGTATAATAAAATCTCCCGGCTGGAAGACTTCGAAACGCAGCTTGGTCAGGATCACCGTCACAAAATGAGGGTCAGTGTTGGCAAACAGCGGCATATTGGCTACGAGTCCACGACAGTTATAGCTGACAATCTCCTGCATGAGCGGGAGAAAATGTACGATACAAGAAGTTGTCATAAAATATCTCTGCCAGGTTTTAACTACAGTCACATATATGAAAGATTTGGTAGATTTAAAACATTTGTAAAGTTTTAAGTGTTTTCAGACAGCAACTCTTCAGCTTGAAACTGAGAATGTGAAGCTCTTTTTTTTCTTATGAAATAAAGTAAACTCATCACCCAAGTATCAAAACCATTGTTTACTGTCTATCAGTGGTGAGGTATGCAGCAGGAGTGACAGATGGGTTCAAGGTGGGATTACATCAGGGATCAGTTCTGAGCCCCTTCTTGTTTGCAGTTGTGATGGACAGATTAACAGATGAGGTCAGACAGGAGTCTCTATGGACTATGATGTTCGCAGATAACACTGAGAGAAGTGAGAGCATAGAGAGGTGGGGGCATAGAGAGGTGGGGGTATGCTCTGGAGAGAAGAGGAATGAAGGACAATAGAAGTGAGACAGAATACATGTGTGTGAATGAGAGAGAGACAGGCGGAAAGGTGAATATGTAAGGAGTAGAGATAGTGAAGGTGGATGAGTGATGTACAATGTGGAGACTGTAGAACTGGCAAAAAGATTGGAGGCGATTGGAGGGATAGTGAATATATCCTCATGAGAACCAGGCTATTAATTTATGTCCTCTATAATGGACATTTGTTTATGGTCTAGATCTTTTGACTTATTTGAGCTACCTTACTAAGACACTAAATGCTAAATAGAGGACATCCTGGGCTTTCCATTGGTATCTCATGTGTTTGGGTGGCTTCTTTTAGCTCCAAAGAGGCAGGAAATCATTAAAAAAATTTCCTCAGTTCTCAGGAGGATTTTGGTCATGATGTTAAAGATGAAGCTGCCAGGTGGGAGCAAAAGAGGAAGACGACATAAAAGATTTATGGACATAGTCAAGGAGGGTATGCAGAAGGCTGGTGTGACAGAGGAGGAGGATGCTGGGATAGAGTGAAATGGAGGCAGATGATCTACTGAGACAAAAGCCAAAACAAGAGGAAGAAGCTTACAGATCAACATACAAATCAAATAGTCTATGTTTTACCATATTGTGATATATAGCATATTATTGTGGAAAAAAATATGTCAGTTGGTCTATAAACAGGAATAAAAGCATTGTTAACTAGCTCTTAGCATATCTAACAGCTGATCAGATGTTTTCCAATTTCATTATAAACTAAATATATTTAGGTTTTGAACTGTCGCTTAGATAAAGGCACATTTAAAGAAATTTTCATGGACCCTTTTTAACATAAAAGACGAACTTATTCAACACTTAATAAAAAACTGGAGAGAGGAAGCAAGAAACAGCAGGTAAAGTCACACACCTCCTTGAGTGGGTCACTGAGCTCTCCGAGGATGTTGTCCTCATCAAACATCTTGCCTTGGAATCGCTGCTCATAGTAATCGTGGATCCTCTGTCTTAAGTCTGCTGGCAGTTTATGAAATGACATGTACTGCTCCACTTGTTTATACTGGAAACAACAGAAAACACACAATTAGTCACATGTTCTAGCATGTGTTTTGTGAATTATCCCCAAGAACAATAATTACATATTCATTCCATTTGTTTTGCAGGCTGTTTCTCCCGTTTTAAGTGGATTACAAACTCATTTGTAATGGGCATTGGCAGACAGTTATCCAAAACAAAGGTGCCGCCATTTGTCCATCATCTGTTCTGCTTTATCTTGTGAAAATCCCCTGGAATGGGTCATGGTAAGGCTGCAAAATCCATTAGATAATACACATATTCTCTAGGCATTTGGCACAGTTTGTACGAATAAAGTACGAGCAAGTAAGCCAGTCTGTGATATGAAACATGGCTGGGATATTAAAGCTCAAAGCCCGAATCACATTAGCATCCACGTGAGGTTCCTGGAACATATTGTCCACAAAGCAACTGAAGCTGCAGGTCACAAGTGTGCATGATTACCTTCTCTTGATACTGCCGATGCGAGGCGTCCAAGGACTGGACCAGGTTAGTGGCATGGCCGAGGAACATGGCGTAGCACGTGGCCCCGACTACCATGCTGACCATGGTGAGCCAAACATCGGTCATGCCCTCTGGAGGGTGAGCACCGTATCCTATGCACAGCATGTGACTCATGGCCATAAACAGAGCGTAGGAGTACTGGATGTGCCATGTAGAGTTCTGAAAAAGGTAGTTAACAATGAGGCGAGGTGAGACAGAGCATGAAATGAGGTCATCTATGAGCCTGCAACTTTGGGAAAATACAGACAGCTGTCAGCCGTTTCACATCCAAGTAAAGATTTTGTATCTTGTAAAGAATACTGTGTTAAATGAGAAAACACCAGAGACACACATACCTCTGTTAAACCTAACCAGAAGTTAAGACTAAAACACGGCAAAACAGTTGGAAACAAGTTTAATTACATGTAGTGTTTAAGGAGTCTTCAGGAATATTTCTCCGGGCTTCTAGAAGGACACTCAAAGATCTTCCTTGGATGTTGGCTGCCACCCTTCTACTGAGACCATTTTTGATGAGGCTTCGGTGAACAGTAGATTAACTGAAGGGCCAGATGCATCTTTCAAGTCCAGTGTCAGACTGGATTTGACTGCATACCATGCTGGGGTGGCTCATGACTTTTGCACAGTATGTATGTGCAGTTGCAGTGTTTGACGCGTGGTCCTGGTTTCAGTTAAGATGATCTCCAAATGTGAGAACAGTATCTCATTTCAATTTTGATTTTTACTCTTGCACTCAATGCACACTGTGGACGATGTCACTGTGAGTTGGCATGTCATGACCATAGACGGAGGTGTGGCTTTGCCAAGTTTGTGGTTTGGTTTGTTGTGGTGTGGTTTGTATGCCACTGAGTAAAATTACTCTGCCTCCTTCAAAAAAATGCCAACTAACACTGAATTGTAGCTTTATACTCACATACTACTTTAAATATGTAATTTTACTTTCTTTTCTTCATCTACTCACCACCATATTGTTTTTGGATACCCAGCAGTCTGAAGGAAAGTCTTGCAGCATAGGTACCATAAATGTCAGGCAGCCATCCCAGTGACACAACAGCAACATCATTCCAATCAAGTTGACTATACGCACCACAGCACTGGCCAGATCATAAGTCATGTGGAAAATCTGTCAGAAAGAAAGTCACAGAGACGATCAAATTACGATATTTCTGTTTCTTTTGTTCTAAGCACGTGCCCGCTTCCCTGCCTTTGCATTACCTCCTCCCATTGGTGGATGTATCGGATGAGGCGAGACAGACGGAGAAGACGCAGCAGACTGAGGATCTTTGTGAAACGCACAATGCGAAGTGCACGAGCGGTACGGTACACGTCTGATGACTCGTGTCGGGATTCGAGGTCGACGATGAGAAAGATGTAGTCGACAGGGATGGAGGAGATGAAATCCACCAGGAACCAAGTGCGGAGGTAATGAATGCGGATCTCTTTGGGGTCCAGGATGATGTGGCTGTCCTCTCCCAAAATGCCCGTACGGAAGTTGAAAACCAGATCCATGAGGAAGAGTGTGTCTGACAAGACGTTGAAGGTGATCCAGGGCATGGTGTTCTGGTCTTCGAAGAAGGTGATACCCCAGGGCAAAATGACAAGATTGCTCATCATCAACAGGAGCATTACGATGTCCCAGTAAAACCTGGAGAGAAGAGGATGAGTGCACAACCTTTACACAAACTTCAAATGGACCTATTCATACTTTGACCGTTTCCAGATTTACAGATGATTTACAGATTTACTGCAAACACATCTGCTCATTCTGGGCCAAACTGTAAAAAAACAAAATGACAAGGTGGTTATTCAAATATACTTCAAGTAATATTTTAATGAACCCTTTTGAATTAAAACTGAAAATCTACGTGTTAATCACAACTTGACTGCTGCATGCACGTAGTTATTTCTGTACTGTATGTCAGTGCGGCCATATCACAACAAACACAAAATTGCATGTGTTGTCAAGAGAAGAGAGCTGACTGTGAACACCAAAGATGTGAAGTGAATCATGTGGTCCACTGCTGTTTTTGAGTTTTTCATGAGTTTTATATATTTATATGGCTTTTTATAGCAAATACAAACATATGTTAACAATCTCAAATGAATTTGATGGTTGTGTGGCACATCTGCAACATTTTTAATGAGGGCAGTCACATGTATACCTGGTACTAACATATGAACCGTAAGGTTTCCGTTTGCTCTTCTAAGTGCATCAGAAAATTTAGGAACACCCTCCAGCATCTTCAATTAAAGAGTAAGAAAATCTGTTAGCTTTGACGTAATACTGCCAAGAGTGCTCTTTTTGTGTTGCTTACTGATGACAGTTTGGAATTACTATTACAATTTTAAGAAAAATAATAACATCCCATGGCCCCTTTACACTCTCATCAGAATCCTTTCCTGTGATTCGTTCATCATGCAGATGTCCATAAAGCTGTTGCTGTGGAACTTTAGCATTTAGCTGATGGCTCTGGCTGGCACTACAGAAGAAGTGTGAGCATAAACAGAGTAACATTTATAACTGGCAGGTGATTTTAAATGTTTTAAACAGCTTAGCAAATATCACCAAATTGTACAAGCTAAAGGTATAGAGGACTGAGAGCTTACCGTACTGTGGTGAAGTTTACGGCTCTGGTTGGTTAATAGTCAGTGTTGCGTTACATTGAGGGTAGCAGATGTTTTTTAAGCTGATCTGTCTGCTTATATCTTGCTAAATTTAGTTAAATCCACAAAGAGTAGTAAACTTTAGAGCAGCAGCAACACGTGTTTTCGGATCACAGCCAGTATGCAAAGAAAACAAATCTACTGGAGCTCACAATACAATTAAAAAAAAAAAAATCTTATTTCTAAATGATTGTTTTTGCCCCACGCTCTGATGCACATTAGGGTGCCCCCACCTGCCCAATACCACTTTAATGCCATCATACACAGAGTATGCAGACTGGATACCTAGTAGCAAAGATATCACGTAATCGAGCTTTTTGTTTTTAAGTCACTTTCTGTACAATACAATACAGTACAGCTTTATTTATATAGCACATTTAAAACCAAAGGTACACCAAAGTGCTTCACAACAAGGTTAAAACATAAGATAAAAGATAAAAGGCTATAACAAACCCCCCAAAGGTACAGACAGAATAAGAAGTAAAACATTATAGCATGGTTTAGAAGATACAATTACAGGGTATTCATAATGTAGGAGCCATATGAGTTGTTCCTTTTTTGATTAAGTGGGTTGGTTTAAATGGACTCGCTGTATTGGTGCACGGGTGTGGGGCGTGTCTCATGGGTGTGGTAGATGATAAATGTGGTTGCACTCACCTGTTCACTGCACCTGATGTTGATGAGCAGAAAGGTAGGGTGAGCATGAGGCAAAACTTTCTGTTGACCGCAGCTTGAATTATTTTCATGTATTTGACTGTAACTTGATGGTTTATGTATATTTGTGCACTAATTGATGTCATAGGCCAAGTTGTAAGTTGGCATTGTAATTAGTGCAGTTATTTGTTTGTGCAGTCTGTGCATTTGTTTAATAGTTAATCCCATGTGCTGACTTGTATATTGGACAGCTGCATGTGGAATAAAAGGAGCAAATGGTACAGAAGCGTATTTTATGCGTATATCTGTGTCCTCATGTTTAGCCTGCCGCGGCCATAGGTTGGAGCTGCAACACATAAATATAAGGTGGGGGTATTTATGCAGTGGGACATTAGTAGGAAGATAAGTAACATAAGGGTAAAATATAGGGGGAAGTGCACTAACTAACTGAAAACGCTCAGTCAAACAAGTATGTTTTTAACTGAGATTTAAATGAATAGATGGAGTCAGAGGGAAGATTTCCCCAGAGGCTCGGGGCTGCCAGGGCAAAAGCACGGTCACCTCTGGTCTTTAGCCAGGATCTAGGCTGCACTAAGGCTACGTTCACGCTGCAGGTGTTAATGCTCAATTCCAATTTTTTGATCAAATCTGAGTTGTTGTTTTTTTTTTTGTCTGCTTGTTCACACTACATATAAAATGTGACAGCAAACACGCTCTAGTGTGAAGCCTCAAAGCGGCCCGCATGTGCAAAAGAAGACGTCACACACAACGCGCTCTGTTTAGACCCAGAGCAAACAGTATTGTTTGACTGATGGCCCTTAATATAAAGACTTGATTGGGACTTTACGTTTCCCAATTTTGCTTTAAGTTATAAAGTTATTTTGTTATTTAAATATGGCCTAATAATGATCCTTATTGCTGTTTTAGAGAGGAGCAGTGCTTCAAAGGATAGTTGCAGATTTCTGTCAGAATCTGCAGATTATACAGTACAAATAAAATATTCACGTTTCTCCAACGTTGTCTTCCCAACAGTTTCACTGGATGGCCAGGAAGCGTTCAGTGTCTTCTCGGGCGCTTCTCCGGAGCTGATAATTGGCGTCTGTCTTGTGTCAGTGATGTAAAAGACGGATTTAATGCGACATGACCGTTCAAACAGCAGTCTCTTTCTAAAACATCAGATATGTATCAGATTCAGTACCACATACGAAAGTGACCCAGGTCGGATTTGAAAATATCGGATTTGTGCTGCTCAGACTGTCATACCATGATTGGATATGGGTCGCATAGGGTCTAAAAAGTCGGATTTGATGCGCTTTCGTGTGCAGTGTGAACGTAGCCTAAGAATATTTGTCCTGATGATCTTAGATCATGATAGAGGCAAAACTGTCGGGTCTGGTCAAAAGGCGTGCCGCAGCATTCTGGACAACCTGCAATCTATGAAGAAGGGTGGAGTGGAGACCAAAGTAAAGGGAATTAGTAGTCTAATCTAGAGGTCACAAAAGCATGGATTCGTTTCTCAAGGTCCCTGTGCGGTATGTAGTGCTTGGCCTTGGAGATTTGACGCAATTGGTAGAAACTAGATTTAACTACAGAGGATAGCACTGAGCAGCTCCTTCAGTGGGAGACTGCGGCACCCACGGTGTGGGACAGAGAGATTTCGCAGGTCTTTCCTCCCCACTGCTGTCAGACTCCATAATAAAGACTTTAACTGATCAAGCACACACATCCATACATATGCAATAATACTAAGTGCAATAATCCTTTCTGTCATCGTTGTATTTTTACTCAGTTGTATATAGTATTTGTATTCTATTTTTATCTTATGGTATATTTATTTTATTTTATTCTACTGTGTATATAGTATTTTATTCTATTCTGTACAGTTGTGTACTGTATTTATTCTTATTGTATTCTAATTTTTGCCTCATAACTTTTGCACTGTCCACTCCTGCTGTGACAAAACAAATTTCCCACGTGTGGGACTAATAAAGGTTATCTTATCTTATACTTGTTTGTCAAACTTAAAGGAGCTGTCAAAGAGAACACCTAAGTTGCTAACAGTGCCAGAAAGGGAGATGGCAAGGGGTCCAAGAGTGTCAGCAAATTGGCCCCATGAAGTATGGTTGTCGAACAGCACGATAACGGAGTTGCTAGCTACTAATGCTGCTTGTTCCTGTTCCCTGGCAGCTTATGCTATCGAGAGGAGATTGACTTTTTAACCTGCTGGGTAAAGTTTCTCTTAAGGATGTGATCATGTGTGCACAGCATTTATACCCAGCTGAAATCCAGGCCCAAGCTGATCAATCTCCCCATGTGATCCGGTAACGGTCCAACCTGTGTGCGTTAGAGCTTGCATTCATTGTTCCAGATCCAGATTGGATATCTTGATTGCACGTGCTGTACAAATACCCTGTCTCCTTCAAGTCATACATGTCCCATTTCCCTATAGCTCTCAAATGTCTCATACACTGTCGGAAGACATGGTTTGGATTTTCTTACAGATTGTTTCCATCAGCTGTCAATCACACTGGGTCTCTCGCTCTCAGTGACTCTTTGATTACAAAGGCAGAGAAAGAGAACTTGACGCAGACCAATTTTGATTACAGTCACCCTTCAGTGATTGCAACGTGAACCCGTGACAAAACTGAGCAGAGACACAGAAGTGATTGATGTGTTCTTCACTCGTGTCCGTGACCTCTCTGTCCACTCTCTGCTTTACATGAGTGCTTACCATTATTTCTCATGTTGCAGCAGATTAGTGGCTGCTTGCTGCTATTAACGCCACCAATCTGGAAGGCATTATAGCTGTTGACATTATAGATCGAGTCTGAGTGAGAGGGAGAGAGGAGCAGAATAAAATCTGCTGTATCTAAAACCTTTAGACAAGCTTTAATAGCAGTGAGCGCAGGACAGGAACATGAGTGTATTCTGATAGGATTTCAGGTTGAATTTGAATAAAGTAAAGCGCTAGTGTGGAGGCTTCAGGCCTGCAGAGTTTAAACCAATCAGTGATGTCACTGTGGCCATGTCCATCTTTTGGATACAGTTTATAATTTTTGGAAATGAAATTACTCTTTTCTCCATACAGATCTTTTAACTGCATGCAACAAAAGTTTATCCAAAAATAAGTCAGCAGCATTCGGACTACAAGCAGACCACAGATGCATATATGTGTGTGTATGTGTGTATGTGTACACACACACACAAAGATTGGGGATGTTGGTCTTATGGTAATCAGTCACTTTTACCCAGAGTACAACTAATTCCACCTTTCAGGGTCAAAGTGGAGCTGGGGACTATCCCAAGGGACATTGGGTTAGAGGTGGGATACACCCGGAAGTGTCACTATAAGTCTAATCACAGCTCCAACATAGAGATACAGACAAACCACTCGCATGCAGATTACAATCAATGTAGAATTGATAATTAGCTAAACATGGACATCTTTGGAACAAGGAGGACGAAGCACTAGAAAAAAAATCCAGAGAAATATTGAGGACAAGCAGATTTTACAGAGAAAGGCACCAACCAGCTGTGTGACCTTAAACTCTAAACAGGAAATCTGACCAAAACTCTACTGTCCCAATTCATTCATTTTTAAGAGGAAGTGGGAGCATAAGGTTTAAGAAGAGCAGGCCTGTGCTAATCCCTCCCTCAGCTGCCTGTGTATTATTGCATAATAGAGTAAGATTGGAATTATACGGATTCTTATGGGTAATAATCCCCATGCATGGGTTTATCCCCTCTGTCTGGCATCGGCCTGATGTTAAAAATTCTTTAAATTCGCTGGGCTATTAGTGACCTCACCGACAGATTGCTTGGGCATCACTCCTGAGTCGTTGTTTAACCCTGAAAGTTGAATTATTGGACAGATCCCCCCCCCCTCAAGTGAGGCCAAACTAGATTAGGAAACTATTTGGATGATTTTCAGTCAGATTGGTTAAATCATGAGTATTGATGAATGCACTTCTCTCTCCTCCTGGGGTTAAAAGGAGTCACACGGGAATGATATCATTAATCCAGATGATCTTGTCCTATATACTGTATCACTAATCAAATCCCTTCATCGCCTTATCATGTGCGGGGAACCATGACATCAGCTGCTATCCTGCAGTCTGTCCTTGAAAAACTGGATGCGAGTCCTCAATCACAGGGTGCTTAGTGGGATAAAGGGTAAATGCTTTCAAGGGAACTCTAAACAATATTGAGCGACTGGAAGCACCTTGAAATGAAAAATGTCACTGGTCAGATTTCTGTCCAATTTTTACGGTTATAATGCGTTAAGTTACACAAATTGCAATAAAATGAGAGCAAATTAGTTTAAGGGCTTTCTACTAATTACCTGAAGTCACTGTAGGGGTGTATGATCCACACTCCAAAGCTTTTAACCCTCTCCTGCTCAGCAGCAACACCTTTGTGACTGCCGAACATGCGCAGGGAGAACTTGTTGACCCCGGGCTGCAGCATGGAGCCAAACTGCTTCTGGAAGTAGGTGGCCTGGTCCTGAGACTGGCTAGCGCTGTCTCCTTCGCCCTCTCCGTTGGTCTCCAGGAGGCCATCCGGATCCGCTGTGTAGTCGTCATTGTGAGTCTTGACCAGAGAGAAGAGCGTGTTGCTCACGTCGCTCCTCTTGTCTGTCTTCGGGGAAGGGGTGGCAGGCGGGGTTGCCCTCTGGGACGCATTTCTCCATTTGGAGAAGCGGAGACTGCTCCAGCTGCGGTACCTGGGCGTCTCCGGTTTGGTGCCTGAGCCGTCACCTTTCTGTCCGTCTAAACTCCTGGAGGGGCTGCTCATTTTTTACACTTTGCACGTGCAGGTGAGCGAGGCAGAGAGGGGCTTTACTTCCCCCCTCACTTGGCTTCTTGGAGTTCACTTACTAATAAAGTTTAGTGCGCAAAGCATTTCATTTGGCTTCCAAATTTAACCTCCTTTACATAAATTAAATGCGTAAAGATCAAATTATGAACAGCATTCGCTATTATATTAAAAAAAAATTTTTATAATGCAGCCGCTAAAACAAACAAAAAACCCCCCAACGTTTTAAGTACCTGGAGGTCACCGTTTGCTCCGCAGAGTGCCACACACACATCTTACAGAATAAATCAGATCTTATCAAATAAAACATCCAGGCTTTCTTCACGTGCGTTCTCGTGGAGTAGGTCCATTAAAAAAGTTCCCTTAAAAGTTTTTTCATGTGAAAAAGGGAAAAAGGAAAGTCCGGCTGTGGGCTGCTGTGTCCTCCTCCCGTCTGACCGAGAGAGGACAGACGCATATTGACAGAGAAGGCTCAGTAGCCTTCAGTAATCGGCTTGTTGTAATAACTGAGTCCACTCCGCTCACCTTTCTCCGCTCTCCTCCACCGCCCTCCCCTCCTCTGAGGCGAGTCCCGGAGCGGTGATGCGGCTGCTGCAGGTCGTGTTGCGAGGGGCAGCAGAAACCGAAACTTAATGAATTACTCATTCGTGGTCAACCGGTGTCAGAGGTAACACCAGCAGCTGCTGAAGTCATGGTAAACCCGGCTAGGTTTTCCACACACTTCACTGCTTTTACGCAGTGCTCATATTATCTCAGAATTCTGACTTTTTTTCCCTCAGAATTCTTCCCCCCCAGTGGCCCTAATCCTCTTCCGTAAAACCTAATTCCCTCAATTTATTAGTAACTAAAATTATATTTTACAAACAAGTTCTTCCCCGATAAAATAAGTGACTCATTAAACAGCCATTTACCCGTAACTATCAGTTTCACACACTTCACTGCTTTCCTCTGGAGTTTCTTTACATTAGTCCTACGCCTGCATCCAGGCAGTCCCACGCCTGCGACCACATGCTGAGCTGCTTATATGGAAACACACAGAAGGAAAACTCTGTACATCAACTATAAAAGCAGATGAAGGGGTAGACAAAGACCATATGAGAAGAAGGGTACATCATCTCTGTAAAGAACAAGGAAGAAAGGAACTACACATTTTTAATGAAAGTTGATTTTATTATTATTTTATTATTTTTATTCATTAACTTTATTCTCTTTGGTCTTATTCGGCTAAGCTGTATCCTTGTTGAGGTTTATGCCACATACGTTGCTGAAAGACATAGATGCATCATTATTAATCCAGCGCTTATAACTCCTACTTTTTGCAAAGGTTTTGTATGTTTTGGAACTAGAAGAACAGAAAAATGTGGTCATACTCAGATAACTCGCTCCTCTTCACATACGCACATATTGGACTGTGTTGTACCAGTGTTTCTTTTAGCGTGTTAATCTCCTGAGTCCAGGCCTCAACCTCTGCATCCAAGGAAGCTGGATAAGAGAGAAAGAGATTAACATGCTGGACCTCAAGAGTTTTGCTAGTGTTTGACCACATGGGGGCAACAGGGCGCGGATTACCTGTGTGATAAGCGTGCCTCACCTTTAGTTTCACTTTGTGTCTTTTGGATACTTTCCAGCTCTTCTTGTGCGTTTTTCTGTGGAAATGTTGCAGAAATGTTTTTAAGGTTGGGCTGGATTTATGTTACGCATTAAAAAAAACTTGTAATACTCTAAAACTATTTCAGATAAACAGAAACTGTATGGAAGCCCAGCGATACAACAGTGTATTCATTTTTAACCAATCATTTTGACATTTTTGTACCAACACAATGCAAAAATACTCACTCTTAAGTGAAAAGCTCGTATTGAAATCAAAATGTGCTGAAATCAGGTGTAAATGGATGAACAAAAAAGTCTGGCCAGATGTTTTTGTTTTTGTTTTTTTAAACAGTGGATAATTTGAAATATCTGGAAATTTCAGGATTTTAATTACAGGGTGAGTAGAAAACAAGCGGTTCAATCTTAAGCATGTAAAGTAAATGAAAATTGTTTCCCTCTCAGATGTAGTTCGGCACAAATATGAGGTAGCACAAAGGGAAAGTAGCGTTTCCCTATGCAGGCAGTAACGTTGGCGCTGATAAGAGATGTGTCTCTATTGACGTTTAGTGTTTGCATAGTTAATATAAAACCAGAAGAAAAAAAAAACAGGAAGACTTGTTACCATTTTTTCTTGGCATGCATCGTTTTCTGCTTTCTTCTGCTCCGTTTCTGAACTGAGTTTATTGAGTGCAGCTTCCATATCATCTACATGTTTCTGGCCCTGAGCCAGCAGTTTTTCCACAGCGGCTTTGAAGAGGTCCTTACTTTGATAATCATCAGAAGATTTCTCTAACGCCACTTCCATTGTTTCAATCTTGCTGTCCAGAATGCGCTTCAATTGATACTGGCTCTGGACCACCATCAGCAGTCCCATGGTCAACAAGACGGATAAAATAATCGCAATCCAATTAGTCTGCATTGATGCTGCTTCTGGGGAAGGACAGGTTTCTATAGTCATGCTTTAGACATTAGCAGTGCAATTAAAAGGCATTTCATTTCCTATTATCGCTTCTTACCTTATTTTTAGCCAGTATATTAAACTTTAGTTCCAGTTCTCTTCTGCTCACTAACCTGCCACACAAACCTTGCCTGAATGGAGACCACAGCACAGAAAGCGCACGCTGCTACTTCACGGCGGAAAGAACTTATGGTGTTATGGTGTTTTCACTTCCTCGTTTGCTCTCATCTGAGCGATAAAGAGGGTGGGGGCCAGTGTGCTGATGAATCAAAGCTCAACTTTGCTTGTGAGGAGTTTAAACAGCTGCTGTTAAACTACTACAGAAGAGACAGGAAAATGTCAGACATGTCATTTTATTTGAATCTCAGGAACTGGAGTTTTTTTTGTATGTACTTTTAGCATGCTATGTGTAATTCACTTAGTCATGGATCATCCCGTCTTCCTGGTTTGGATCTAAGCTTAACTTCAAGCATATATGGTTTGCAAAGTGGCCACATATTTTTTTTCATATAGGCTATGTTCACACTACAGGCGAAAGCGAATCAAATCCAATTTTATTATTTTTTTTTTTTTATATATATATATAAACCCTATGCGATCCATAGCCGATCATGGTATGACAATGTGAACGGCTCAAATTCGATCTGGGTCACTCTCCTACTGTCAGCTCCAGTTGGACCGGTATTTCAGGTTTTAGGGAGGTGGAAAGACAGAAAGGCCTGCTTTGTATGCCTCTGTGATTGTCCTGTTTGGTTGTCTAACAGCCAGTGTTGGTCAAGTTACTTGAAAAAAGTAATCAGTAACTAATTACTGATTACTTCCCCAAAAAAGTAATCCCGTTACTTTACTGATTACTTATTTTCAAAAGTAATTAATTACTTAGTTACTTAGTTACTTTTTAAAAACACGATTTACAACCTGAAGAGGTGATAAAGCGATAGATCTTTCAGCCCAATTCTACTTTTTCTGACATAATCCATCATACAAAATGTAATCAAATGGAAAAGTCTCTTTTTAAAACTTGTTTTATTAGTTTTAATCTTTTAACTTTATGCATCAAGCAAAAATTTAATTATATGCAACATTCTCTGACTGGAAGAAATTTGTTTAATATTTAAACCTATTTTCTGCACATTCCAGCACATAATTTTTTTTTTGTGTTTACACTCACGTCTTTCAAATAGATGCAAGTAAAACACAGCAGAAAATAAATAAAGTCAAAGACTAGCGGTCCTTTGCTCTATTTTCACCTGTAAAGCAGGAGTAGGGTAGGCGGAGGTTTACCCTGGTGCAGGTGTGCCGCAGGGTCAGTGGAAGAATCCGCTGAGTTTCTCTGTGAATTTCCCATTACGTCATAGCGACACTGGTGCTTGCTTGGAAGTTAGGGGTTTTTTTTCCTGTAAAAAGAGTTTTCTTCCCACGCACAATGGACACTAATGTTTTTGTCACCTTTTTATGGAATTAAACTAAGGTCAGTACTTCCACACTTTAAACGCTGCATGCTCACATTCTCTCCCGCACTCCATATATTATCCATTGTTGATCTGCACACAGCTGTTGTCACCAACCTTGCACTTGCTTACGTCACTGTCATGAGACAGTCTCGCAAAAAATCATGGTTTTAGTAACGCAGCGTTCCTGCGGGAAAGTAACGGTAATCTAATTACCGTTTTTGCAATAGTAATCCCTTACTTTACTCGTTACTTTAAAAAAGTAATCGGATTACAGTAACTCGTTACTGCCCATCTCTGCTAACAGCTTGTGTAATAGTCAAACTGGTAGCACAGAAAGTATTCACCATACAATGGGTCAGAGGGCCCGGTGGCACCAGCGTCCGGCAGCCTCGCCTGTCAGTGCGCCCCAGGGCGGCTGTGGCTACACTGTAGCTTGACATCACCAGTGTGTGAATGTGTATAGTGTAAAGCACTTTGGGGTCCTAGGACCAAGTAAAGCGCTATACAAATACAGACCATTTACCAATGTGGTATCTAGCAGTGTAAAGCGTTTTTTGTTTTTCTCCTTATGGCCAAGCAAAACGGAAATGTGGACACCAGATCCAGAAGAAAAAGCATAGCTAAATATAGCGAACAGTAGCTGTAGTATAATAAGCTACTTGTGATAAGAGCATTTACTTTTACCTGTGGCATGGTTTTCCTACATATAAGACAAGAGCTTAATTCTTTATGTTTTTCATAATGGTGTTACAGTACAACAGCATTACATCACAATGTGAGAGCAGTAAATGCTCCTCCGGATCCTTTCGAAAATAACTAAGCAGCAGTAAGGCAGTCACAAAGAGCTGTGCACATAGCTTGCACCCTCTCATTACTCTTGTGGTTGTAGACCAAAGATCACAGGGTCATTAATTACATACAAATATGTGACGGTATGCAAAACTGCTGCCACAAAGCTACTCACATCCATATAAGGGGGCAAAAAGGGAAAGCGAGGCTCTGCAGTTTTTTTTTTGTTTTGTTTTTATTATATCCTCTTATATGACATTTGTATTGTAACGAGCAGTTGTCTAAGCATTTCACTGCATATCGTACTGTGTATGACTGTGTACGTGACAAATAAAATTTGATTTTGAATTTGAATGATCTTTTAACATTTAGTTTGTCCTTATGACCTTTCACATATTTTTCAATCCTTTTGTTGTGAAATATTTTAAGCTAACTTTATGTCACAGGCCAAACCCATAAGCTGGAGCCCATCCCAGTCCTGTTACAGCCAACTCCAGAAAATAGATGGATGGAGTCAAATAAAATGACTCATGTGTTGTTGTGTTTGCACTGGGAGAAGCCAGAAAAGCTACCTGGAAGACGACTGGCCAATTTGTGAACTTTAGAAATTTAAGCATCCTGAATCTCACTGAATTGAAAAGCTTAGGTAAAAAGGATTTAGATATATGCCATTGTCAAGGCAATTTGTTGATTTTTTTTTTTATAACAATACAAGATGGAAAAGTAAGTTTTCTTTTTGCATTTTCTTAGTAAGTATGTGTAGTGGAGATATCAAAGATAGGCACGGCTGTGGCACTGTGACAAGAAGAGAGAGACCACATACGGACTTAGGAGTCTGTTAGATCTACTTAAATTATATATAGAATCAAACTTTAAATGTAAAAATATTTAAATTTAAAGTTCTAGTTAAAAAATACAGAGCCCCGCAGGGGACATGGGAGGGGAAAAAAAAAAATTAAGACTGACTTTTGCAAGATCTCGCAAAAGTTTTTTTTTTTTGGTTTTGTTTTGTTTTGTTTTTCTCGCATGTCCCCTGCGGGGCTCCATACAGGGCTCCGTTAAAAAAACAACAACACTGAAATATTTGGGGTTTGTTTTGCTCTGTGAAATTTTCTCCTGTGACAATGTGTGAATGGGTGGATGACTGGATATGTAAAGCGCTTTGGGGTCCTTAGGGACTAGTAAAGCGCTATATAAATACAGGCAATTTACCAATGTTGAAAACATGTCTTTTATTTATTCAGCTCTGCTCACCTGAAGAAGAGGGTGGAGGCCAGTTTGCAGACTGAGTGAACTTCACCATCGGTAAGGATTTTAAACAGCTGCTTTTAAACCATTGCATACAAGGTAACAAAAACATCAGACAGGCAATATTTCTGACGAAGTAATCTGAGTAACTGGAGTTTTTGCACGCTCCTTTAGGCTTTGTCTAACGCACTGGTGCACTTTTTTTTGTATTCATGCATCAAGCATAAAAAAAATCTGCTCACCTACTGACATCATTTTAACATATATTTGAATTTGACAAATGAAACCTTAAATACCATGACAACAATTTTAGGATTTTTTTTTTAAAGTCATACAGACATGACTTTAAGAGTGTGTGTGTGTGTGTGTGTGTGTGTGTGTGTCACAAAAAGACATTTGGTTAGTTTTTTTTTTTTCTTTTTCTTTGTTGTTGTAACAGTTCTTCTTGGTATTACATCTTATGCCTGTTTATTTCCCTTAAATGGTTTCACATTTGTAGGAACTGTTTGGCACTGGTAGAGAAGATTTGGTTTTCCATGATCACGACCCACATAAACTGCTGCAACATTTGAGTAGCAATAATCAGGCTCCAATGCTATTTAAATATAAGTTAAATGTTAAACACAAATCTCCTTTTTGTGCTTATATTTCATATAGTTGGGAACCAAGGTTAGTTTGAAGGCTACAGTTTGCAGCCCACATATTTCATTAAACCTGCCGTTGTCAGCTCCAGTCTGACCAGAGTTTCTGGTTAAACTGAGATGGAAAGAAATGTCAACTTTGTTTGTCTGACAGTGTTGTGATCCTGGGTCTTTTGACCCAGCGTTTTGTGTTTTCTATCGTTGTGATGTATTTTGGTTCTGGTTTTCTATTTCTTTGGGTTTTGGTTCTGTTCTTCCTCAGTTTAGTGTTTGGTCTTTTCTGCCTGTGTATTCCTGTGTCAAGTCCACGTTTCTTAGTCTGTCTTTGCGTCTATGTGTTCCTGTTTTACTTTGAAAGCCCCTGTCTGATGTCAGTGCGTTTTGTTTACGCTTCTCCTGCCTCGTCAGCGGTGATGTCTCCCAGGTGTGTTCCCCTCCTGTTTCCCATTCCCTGACTCCTGGTGTGTGTTACCTCATCCTCGTTGCTGGTTCGTCTGCGTTTTTCCCCTTCGTCGTCCAGAGTGGTTTCCCTGTGTCTTTCTAAGTCTCCCTGCATCTGTTTCATGTCTCAAGGTTTCAGGTCTGTTTTTATTTAGCTTTTCCCAGTTTAGGTTACTCCCAGTTCTGTTTTTCGCCACCCTCGCCTTTGTATTAAGCACGGTCCCTCAAAGCTTCCTCACTTCAGTTGTGCTGAAGGAGGCAGGAAAGTACTGCGTACCACTCAGGAAATCGGGTAATCTTAACTTTTTGAAAGCTAAATGTCTCTAATCTAATACAACTGGGCAACCTTGGAGCTCAAGATAACTAAATGAACTTAAACATACACCATCAAAATATATGAAAACTCAAAACGCTTGGTAAAGCGACCAAGGATCGTGACATCTTGTGGCTGTGTATGGTTAAATGACACCAAACAAGCGTCAGTTACAGAATAAGCTGTTTGGCATTTGCATTATTAACCTATCCCAGCTGTCATAGGACAAGAGCATTAAGAGAATTTGAGTTTCTCAAAAAAGCTTAAAATATGTGAGTACCAAACAAACACTAAAATGACATTAATTCTTTTACAGTACATTATATAAAAAGCCACTAAATTAATCATAAAAACACTAATTTTTAAGAGTGGCTGAAAGAAACCACCACCCATTAGCTGTCAGTCAACAGCAGACAACAAATGAATGCACGACAGTTAAATAAAAGTGGGAAACCATGTTC